CTCTTAGACTCTCTGACCTGAGCTTTCTGTCTTCAGTGGATCATTTCTGCCTTTATTCTCCCAAAGCTTTGCTAAGTAACCCCCAATATCTGTGTATACATCTGATATCATACCACAATTATTAATAGTAAAAAAATCATTTCAATAATGTCCCAGTTTCGAAGGTGCTGCCTTGTTTTAGGACTTTAGCTCTCACTGGGTAATAGAAGGTTTAAGAGATTCCCAGCAGATAGGAAACTATCAAGTTTTGAGTTGTTTTGTTGGTTACATGGGGAAAATATACAAAAGGAGTGTTGACTTTCTTTTTACATTAGAAATCATGCTTTTTAGTTAGCTTCATTTAATTGAGAAGACATTGAGGAAGGGGCCAGGAGCAGCGATAATCAGTGTAGTTGTGGAGTGCTTATTTCTAAGTCAAAACTCAGTGTAGAGAAATACCTTCCAACAAGGGTTCTTACAGAAGTCACCTCAAGGTTAGCTCTAGTGCACTGCCCCTCACAGCACTTTGCCTCCCTTCCCTTACCTGTTAATATTTAAAAGAACTCTAGACTCTAGCACTAACAAAACAAAATATCACTTGCTTGCATGAAGATAATGTCATCTTAGTCATACTGAACCTCTTCATGCTTATGTCTGATGATGGTTGTGTACGTTGCTCGGAATTTCTATTATGACTAATTTTCACATTTGCAGGGTGTGCTTCTAGAACAGTAGGATTGCTTTCTTAACAACTGTCCCATGTGAAAAGCAGCTGCATTTATTCACACACCATCAACTCAGCAGTTACAGTTTCATTTCAGGTGTAGTATCTGCTCATACTTTCAAAATCATACTTTTACATCAGGATATTAACTCAACCCATCAATTGGCTTACAAGCCAGAGTTTATTTAGTAAACACGTCCCTAGAATAAGTGTGCTCTGCGCTGTGCATGCAGCTGGTCTAGATAAAGCAGTTCTTCCCTGGGAGCTCAGAACAAGAGGAGGTGACACAGGAGGCAGGCTGAGCCCCCGAGTTCCTGGGAGCTCTGTGGGGTGCTCCGCAGCATGAGGAGCATCAACCCCCCCCCTGTTATCACATCCTGAGCCTGATATCCTCTCAGGTGCACATGGCACGTGTCTGCAAGGAGCTCAAACGTACAAACAAGTCCAATGGAGAATGTTATTTAGGCTTTATATGACCAGGTTGGTTGGATATTTTGTCTGGCTCCCCAAATATACTGTGAATAAAAATATCAGCAAACGCTGTCTACCTCTTGGCTGATGGTACCCAAAGTATTGTAGAAGGACAGGATGAGTGAGTCAGTACGACACAGATCAGTCCCACCAAAGATGGAATGAGATTGTATATGTGAAAGATATGCAAACTGTAAAGCAGCTACATCAGTATCATGTAAGGCACTGATTATTTTGAACATCACTGTCAGGATATTAATGCCCATTAGAGTTTCTCACTCTTCAGTTAGGCCCTGCAATCTCACTGGCGTGGTTACATGTCCCAGCCTGAGTCATGCTCTCCCTGTAACCCAAACAGCTAACGAGTTCCTAGAACAAATCCTCAGAACACTACAGCAGGGAGGCCATATTCTGGATATCAGTCTGACCATTATATGCTCCTGTGGCAAAAAGAAATCCACTTTCATCAATAGCTGCTGAAGTCAGTTCAACATTGAAGCCATGAGGTTCTAAAATCTGGAATATTTGGATGCCAGTCTCAAGTTCCCACACCTAGAGGTAAGAACAAAAAACTCAGATATCCATCTGCCATCATTGTGCACTAACTCTCATTATCTCCAATAATGTTTATTATCTTAAATTTATCTAGTATTAGTAACTATTTTACCTTAGTTTGTTTAGTTGTTTTCCTTTTAATTATTCTATGTCCTTGAGTTTTAAGAGTGCTCCTTGTAAAGAATATTTACTGGATTTTACTTGTTTCTATAATATGATAGTCTCTATCTTTTAACTCATAAAAAATTTATAATAGTCAAAATAGCCTCAAAATTGGTACTATGCACATCTAACGCCTTTCCCAACATTGTGCCATGAATGTTGATTTTATCAAAGAAAGTTCTAGAAGAGGCAGTGATATCTAATAGTTACTGTGCTATCCTGGAGTGTGTTTGTTGCAGTGTAGGTGGCTGAGACAGGCAGCGACTCTATTCCAGGAAGACCCTGGGTGTAGAGGAAGTAGCCAATTGCTACTGTAAGCATGAAGCGAGATAGAAATGTAACAATTATGAGTTCAGCAAAAAATCAAACTGGGTTTTTTTTTCTCTGTTGATACTCATCCAAATAAGCTAGCGATCACCGGACCGAATCTGTGGTTAACAGCATGGAATCGGAGAGAACCCTGAGGAAGGAGCTTGCAGACCTTTCCAGAGTGCTCTCATTAGGAAGATGAGCC